GCCCCCCCGGTTTGGGTTCCAGTATTCACCCTTAAACCACTTCCCGAGGCACAAGTCCCCCCCCCAGGCCCGTAAAACCAGTATTCACCCTTCAAAAAAGTCCCCCTGAGGTCAGCAAGTCCCATCCCAGGTCCTGATCCGGGATTCCCCCTTCCCACTTCCCGAGGTCAGCAGCCCCCACCCCGGGTCCGTGATCCAGTTTTTCACCCTTCACCACTTCCCGGAGGGAAGCAGTCCCACCCCGGGTCCCGTGGACCCCAGTATTCACCCTTCACCATTTCCCCTGAGGTCACAAGTCCCCCCCCGGGTCCGGGGACCAGGATTCACCCTTCACCACTTCGCTGAGTCAAAATCCCACCCCAGGCCCGGGTCCAGGTATTCACCTTTCCCATTTCCCTGAGGTCAGCAGTGTCACCAGCCTTAAAAGCACGTCCAATAGATTTAATACACAAGGTTTTAATATCAGAAACGAAGGTAATTTTTTCAGAGGAGGCACGCAGATAATCGTGCTCGTAAAACACCCCCGGACAACTCGAACTCGACTACCGAGACATGAAGACCTATAACAGTTCTCCACCAAAAACGGGCCACTATTTAAAAATTTGGAACAATATTTTATTTTTAAATATTTTTTTCCTATGTTAATTATTACTTGATTAAATTATTATTGTATAAGGCTTTGTGAACGTATTTATTTCTAGATTATTGTTGTTGTGTGAACTTAGGGGCGCTGACACGTCAAGCGCTAATTATTCAAAAAATACGAAAAGATTGAAAAATGATTTAATGTTAGCGAAAAAAGGGGTGAAATCTTAATATTTTGGTGTTATGTCTCGTTCTGTACGAAAATTCTCAAAAAAAATTACCGTAATTTAAAAAATAGGTAAAAGCGTAATTGTTGGACTATACCAAAACATGTACATTTGTTTCTTTTTTAATTTTTTTTCGTTTTTTTTTGTTCTATTTTAGTGCCAAATACTACAAAATACAAAGGGAAAACCTGCAGTGGCTGTGGTAAGCATTGGCGTATAGCCCTTTGGGGCTTGCCTTTTTTTTTTGATTAAAATAATAAAAATAATTTTTGGTAAGCTGCTTCACCCACACAGTCTCAGTGTGCCCAACGTGACAGAAGTGGATTTTGTCCGCCGTTTGACCACAGCGACCCTAGTGCCCGCAATTTTGCCAAATTGTGAAAAATTGATATACAAGCCCCCCAAAGGGAAAACAGTTTCGCATACGATCACCGGAAGCATTAAAATGATAAAAAAAAACTAAATAAATGAAGGCAGGGGCAGGTAGACAGATGACCGTGGCTCCCACACCAAAACACATTTTTTTACTGCGGGCAAAATAATTGTTTTTTCTAAACCCATCACTTTTGAATAAGTAAAGGAAAGCTAAGATGACCGTGTAGCCCACACCCGAGGCCCCCTAAGCGGCACATCACCGGGCCACCCCAATTTCGGCAGCATCACCGGGCCACCCCAATCGGCAGCATCACCGGGCCACCCCAATGCGGCAGCATCCCGGGCCACCCCAATGGGGGCAGCACACCGTGGCCACCCCAATCTGGCAGCATCACCGTGGCCCCCCCAATGCGGCAGATCACCTGGCCCCCCCAGATCTGGCAGCATCCCGGGGCCACCCCAGATCCCGGGCAGCAGCACCGGGCCATCCCAATTTGGCCCACCCCACGGGCTGTGGCAGACCTAGGGAAATGAAGCTTAACTAGGTGACCATCTGGCCACCACCACACCATGGGCCACAGGCCCACCCTTCCTCATTATACATCTATCTTGACCCACCTGGGGTTTTACAAAATTTGAAAACCTCACCACAAATGACCAATTCCTGCGCCACCCTAGACAGGCCACCCCAAGTGGGCCACCCCCTTTCCCCAGTCAGCTGCCACCATCTCAGCTGTCCCCAAACTCACTACCCCGTCTCAGCTGTCACCAGCCAGCAAAACCCCACACATCAAACAGCGAAACGGTGAAATGTTTTTTAAAGTGATAGTGTACAGATAACAAGTGCTACAAGGCGAATTTTCCTATTCAGACATTTAAAACCCTTTTTAGAGGAAAATCAATATATTGAGGAACTTTTAATTTTGAGGCTATTTTTAAGAAGTGCATGATTTTCAAGAATTTTTAGTAATAAATCACTTTTATATTTGATCACCACACCTAGAGACGCTTGTTTGCAAACTGACTAGGATGTAGTGTTGGGGAAAAAACCCTTTGGTACGAACACGAAGTTGCAACTGTAGAAAGATAAGCTGAAATTTTTTGCAGGTGGTGGGCCATCCTCATTTGTAGAAAAACTTTGTGTAATTTGCCTTTTAGACTTCTGAGACAATTTTAAAAAATATAAAATCCTGTTACAAATAAATCCATTGAGCATGCAGCCAGAACATACAGAGGGAAGGGAAAATTTTTTTCACGGAATACCCCAAAGTAGCAGTTACCTGACCAAAAATGGATTTTTTTGAAAATTTAGTTTCATATGGGAACTTGGGAACAAGGGACCAGCATTCAAATTATGGGATTGGGCCACAATGATGCGTGACGAATTGGTATTTTTTACAAATAAAATTCAAATTTTTTTTCTTTGAATTTTGACTTCGTTTCAAGAACAAAAAATTTTTGAAGAAAAGATGAAAAATTGAAAAGGGAACAAAAAAAAAAACTACAAAAACTTCACAGAATTCTGGAAAATGGAAGTTTTAAGCAGCAAAACTGAATGGGAGAGATAACTAAGCAAAGAAACGAGCACAAAAAATGTCTTGTGAGGTGACAATAGTACTAAAAAAGGGCTTGTTAACTAAATGATGGGGGCGCTCCCACCAAAATTAAAGTGCTAAAAAAGGGGCCAAAAACCCTTATCTAAACACTCAAAATAGATTAAAAAACTTTTTTCAATCTCACACAGTGAAAAGGATTTGAAAACCGGGGGAAAGGAAACAGTACAAGTAAGAAGGTCTTCTACAGACTTTATTACAAAAGCTGGCACATTCTTCAGAAGAACCTTAAACGAATGTTGGCACTGACACCCAAGAATAGGGAAAGGTATCCTTGCCATTTTTTCCACGATCCTCCAGTGAGACAACCACACATCATTGCCCACTGGTCCGATTCCTGGTGTTTTTACCAAAATGCAAAAGCAGCAAATGTTCACACCCCCTCACACTCCACTATGAAAGTCCACTCCACGAAACCCGTGTACTTCAAGGTTCATAAATCTACAAAGACCCTTTCAAGAGGAACATGATGGAACGGTTTCTAAAAGGCAAACTCAAACCCCAACGAGAGTCTCCAACGAAATGGGCATACTGCAACAAAGTATTTTATCGAAAAAGTTGGGAAGTAAGTTCGCTGCCAGCCAAGCCCGTGCGAGTACAATGTCTGATGACCACTCGGCAAGGGGTTCTGCATGCCCCCCAAAAGGGGCCTTGAAGCCAGGACAAGAAAATGCAGAAAACAAAAGGCCCAAGATGCTGAAGAGGAGAAAAATAATGGACTCTTCATATGAGCCTGGACGACATTAGATAACCATCTATGTCCACACCTACACCTAATCAAAGGTATGTAATTTATGTTCTTATTTGTAGATTTGTATGTATATATGTATATAAATATATGTGTAATTACATGTATCTGTTTACATAATTACACTGGCAATACGATTTTCGGCATGTATTTCTTTCTTTCCAGTTTCATCTGCATGGACCGTCATGATTGGCTGATCTCTAGAGAACTTCAGGATGCAGGATCTTCATGGAACTTCAGAATGCAGGATCTTCATGGAACTTCAGAATGCAGGATCTTCATGGAACTTCAGAATGCAGGATCTTCATGGAACTTCAGAATGCAGGATCTTCATGGAACTTCAGAATGCAGGATCTTCATGGAACTTCAGAATGCAGGATCTTCATGGAACTTCAGGATGCAGGGATCATCATGGAACTTCAGGATGCAGGGATCACCATGGAACTTCAGGAATATCGTCTATACACTCAGTTCTACTCTCAATAAACATAATAAGTCAGTAAGAGTATTTTTACCCACCACAACTAAACCTCTAAACATTTCTTCATTTTTCTCGAAAATTCATTTATTTCATATTTCTTGAGCATCAATTACTTATGAACTATTTATTTAGGGGACATTGTTCTAAATTATGATGATGCACTTTAAGTAATAATCCCTTCCATTCTTGCATACCATGAGTATGTAGCGCAAGAAATGGTGGAAAACACGTTGAGACAAATATTTTTTTGGTTCAAAAAAAGACTATATTACATGACTGTGCATCATAAAATAAATGTGGCATTGCTTTATCATTTTTATTTATCAAAAACAATTTCGACATTGCCAGTATTTATCCCCTTTGCAATAATTATTGCCACGTCCAACTTCACCCTTTTTTAATGTTTGTTTAATTGGACGAACTGATGAAAATTTTATTAATATACTATGACATGGCATAAGCCTGTGATAAACAATACAATGATATCGAAGGAAAGATTAATAAAAAAAGAAAAAAGAAAGTCCTAACCACCTCATAGTGTTCCCTGCATGATACCTATAATTAACACTTGCAGTTACATTTTTTTCCCTCGTCCATGGTACACAAAGGTTCACTAAGCACACTCTTACCTCGACAGGAACACAGAGGTGTCACAAGCACACTCTTACCTCGTCAATGGTACACAGAGGTTCACAAGGGCACACTCTTCCACTACGTCAAGGTACCCAAAGGTTCACAACACACACTTCCTCCGTCATGGTACACAGAGGTTCAACAAACCACTCTTCCCTCGTCATGGTACACAAAGGTTCACAAGCACACTCTTCCCTCGTCATGATACACAAAGGTTCACCAGCACACTCTTCCCTTGTCATGATACACAAAGGTTCACCAGCACACTCTTCCCTTGTCATGATACACAAAGGTTCACCAGCACACTCTTACCTCGTCATGGTACACAGGTTCCACCAGCACATCATACTCGTCATGGTACACAAAGGTTCACAAGCACACTCTTACCTCGTCATGGTACACAAAGGTTCACCAGCACACTCTTACCTCGTCATGGTACACAAAGGTTCACAAGCACACTCTTCCCTCGTCATGGTACACAAAGGTTCACAAGCACACTCTTACCTCGTCATGTACACCAGAGGTTCACAAGCCACACTCTTCCCTCGTCATGGTAAACAAGGGTTCCAAAAGCCCCCTTTCCCTCGTAGGTCACAAAGGTTCCAAAAAATTTCCCCTCGTATGGTAAAAAAGGTTCAAAAGCCCACCCCCCTGTCAGGGTCCAAAGGTTCAAAGACAAATTTCATCGTATGGTACACAAAGGTTCAACAATCTTCCCCGTCAGGGTACAAAAAGGGTTCAAAAGCACCCCTTTCCCTCGTAGGAAACAAAAAGGGGTTACAAACTTTCCCTCTATGGTACACAATTCCCAAAAGCACACCTTCCCCTCGTCATGGTACAAAAAGGTTCAAAGCCCACTTCCCTCGTCGGGTCACAAAGGTTTACAAGACCCTTTCCCCCTCGTATGGTAAAAAAGGGTTTCCACCACAACTTTTCCCCCGTCATGGAAACCAAAGGTTCAAAGCACCCTTCCCCCCCGCCCCATGGTACACAAATTTTCCAACACACTTTTCCCCTGTCATGGACACAAAGGTTAAAAGCACCTTTTTCCCCTGTATGGACACAAAGGTTACAACCCCTTTTCCTCGTCATGGTACACAAGGTTCCCCCAACACTCTTCCCCGTCTGGTACAAAAGGTTTCCCAAAACCACCTTCCCTGTATGGTACACAAAGGTTCACAACCATTTTCCCCTCGTCAGGTAACCAAAGGTCAAAACAACTTTTCCCCCTCGTCAGGGTACACAAAGGTTCACCTCACACCTTTCCCTCGTCATGGTCCCAAAAAGGTTTCACGCACACCCCCCTCTATGGTACAAAAAGGTTCCAAGCCCCCCTTTTTCCCTCGTTGGTACAAAAAGGTTCAAAGCACACTTTCCCTGTCAGGGTACACAAAGGTTCACAACCACTCTTTCCCTTCAGGGTAACAAATTTCACAAGCCACTTTCCTGTATGGTACAAAAAGGGTTTCACAACCACACTTTCCCTTCAGGGTACACAAGGTTCACCCCAAACTTTCCCTTCTTGGACACAAGGTTTCACAACACCTTTCCTCTCATGGTAAAAAAGGTTACCTCCCCCTTTCCCTGTATGGTAAAAAAGTTTAAAACCACTTTCCCTCGTCTGGTAACAAGGTTACAAGCAAATCTTTTCCCTGTCAGGGTAACA